CCTTAAGAAATAGTGTGAAGGCACACCTGGGATGCTAGACTCCTGAAACCAAAGAGAGAAAAAGCGAGAGAGGGAGCTTCCAGCTTCAGACTGCACCTGGCTCCAGATGTCCACTTGGTCTGATGGGATACTGTGTGACACACTGATCAGCCTTATCCTTGCTCAACTGAACAGCAAAAGTCCCACTTGCTGTAAAAAGGGCAGCGTGATGATCAAGGATAATGAAGATCCAGTCCAGCTGGGTTTAACATGGGTAAGGAAGCCACTAGATAGTACATAGCCATTGCCCCCTTATCTCCCTGCTCACCTGGGCGGGGAATTTGCTGAAGAAAGCCACCAAATCCACGCGGCTGGTTTAAAAACTAAGCACTCGGGTGGCAGGCAGCACCCTTGTGCCTTTACCATGCAAACTAAGTGGGCAGCTTTGCAGAACAGCGAGAGACAGATCCGCTGCTCCCACCCACTCTGTATAGGCAAAGTGGCACGAAGGGACCAGACATCTTGGGCAAGTTCCCTGCTGAGGATGACAAAAGTTTCTCTGCAATGACAAAACTCCCCGCCTGCAGCTTCCAGGGTGTTTGGGACCAGGGAGGGAGCTGGATGGTTGCTGGAAGCAACTTGGAGCAGACCGAGGGCTGGTCTACCCTGCACTGAGGCAGGGCACCTGTGACCTGCAGCCAGCCCTCCTGCCCCCACGCACCTGAGGTTTGATCACATCCCTTTCCCCAGACCTGCCGGCAAAGGGAGCAGCCTGCTTGTGGCGGGGGGGCAAGGATGCCGTGAGTTTCAACAGCGGCATAAAAGATTTTCAAAAGACGGATGAAGCAACGACGCAGCCACGTTCACCCCCATGCAGAACGGCACGGGCAAATCCTCGACCACATTCGCAACGTCGTGACCAGCTACCAAATTACCAGCCTGACCGTGCAACCCCGTCCACTGCAACGTGGAATATTTTGTCCATGCTGCCCTGCTGATCCACATCAGCCTTATTCCACAGGGATGGGATCGTTTCACCTCCAAGCCTACTCTGCACAAGGCCTCTCTGTTGAGGCTGCTAGCAAGGCTGTTTCATGGTATTGGGGAGGTAGAGCTTGGCTGAAACACTGACCGTCTCAGACAGCAGGAGTTTTGCCAGGGACTTCAATGGGCCCCCTATTCTATGTTGCCCTCCTGGAAAAGTTCGATAGGATTTAACAAGGAGGCAACTGGTAGGGAATGACAAGGGAGTGCAATTTGGATGCTGTGTAAGACCTTCCAAAGTCATATGCAATATTGGGTAGGAGATGAGTTCCTGCCTAGAGGGAGTTCTTAACTGTCCTATCGTACGAGATGGCAGGGATAGGATTTTCTATTGCATGACTGCAGCAGTTCGGAAATTAGATAGATAGGCGGCTATTGCTGGCTATATATCTGCAGGGCTGGTCTGGGAGGGGCTGCACAGAGCCTCATTCCACATGGAGGCCTCAGCACGGAGGATGAAGACAGATCTGGACTAGATTCACTCCCGGTGACCTCTGCGTGAGAGTCTCCCTCCGCCGTGCCCGCAGCTCCAAACTCACCCAGACAATTATCTTTTCAATTCCCCCATTGCTGCCTGCGGGTATTTTTCCCCACTTTATACAGAAGGGAAGGTTTGAGGGGGAATTTTCATGCCGAAACAAAAAGGATCCTTCTACCCAATTACGAGATTCAGCCTTCAATGCAAAACCATCCATAGCACCCTGCCCTCCTCTTCCCCTCTCAGCTCCGTATCCAGTATATAAAATATTGAAAGGCACAGGCAAGCCCCACATACAATGTCAGCTATCCTAGAGTTTATGAATATAAATTAAAGTGGAAATGAAGTAGAGGCATTTCAAATGGATAAAAATCATTGCTCTCCGGATATATTCAAGAGGCACAATTTTTATAGCTTCAGTCCTGTAAACTATCAAATGGGAATGCGATAACGACCTGCTATAAAGTTCTCGGCTTTGTAAATTGAAATCAATGGGCAAGGAAGAAGAGAGAGTGGCGGGGGGGGGGGGGGGGGGGTTAGAGGAAGAGAGTGTTGCCTTAGGAGGTGCCTTGGAGATGCTTGCTCACCTAACGTTGCCTGGGAAAGTTTTCCAAACTGAGCGCTTCCCTGGCATATTGCTAGAAGTCATTAGAGGAGCAGCAAGTGAAGACAAAAGCTAAACTCTGACAGGGCCAGTCGGTCTCCCAATACCCATGTGCGCATATCTATTCAGACTGTCGTGCTCCATCAGTGAACATGCAGGCTAGGCTCAGAAGCTACACGTAAATCAGTTGAAGTGATCAGAAAGTGGTTTAAACCTGTGACAGAACAGAAATTCAGTGCACACAAACCAGTTTCAAAATGGCTGAAACTGGTTTAAGAGAAACCTGGTTGAATGTAGGTATCAGACTTAACTGATTTGGGCCAAACCAGTTTCTGAAACTTCTGTCCCAGACCCCTTCCTGGTCCAAGTTAAATCACAGTCCCCCAGCATCCCAGCATGCTTTGCAGCCCTGGGCTGGACTGTGCTGTCTGCTTCAGAGAGCAGGGCTGGCTCTGCCCCTGCCCCACTGCTTCCTATATGGCTGACAAGGGGTGGAGGGGGGTACAAACCCAGCTGGGGATGCAGCCCAGTCTACTGGGCAAGACTGCCCCACCCCAGGCAATCCCCAGCTGGAGTCTGGGCAGGGGGGTAAACATCCTTTTCCCTGCTCAAACTTTCTGCTGGCCGCAACCGTGGAGTACAAATCCCAGAGGCACCCAGAAGCAGGAAGAGGAAGTGATGGGCAACCCTGCAGGGTCCTGCTGCTGTAATTCTGGACTGCAAATCCTAGCAGGAATTGGGGGCAGCAGAAAGAAGAAGTGAACACAGCCAGACAGCTGTACTCTAGCACTTCCTGGCTCCTGGCCTGAGCCATTGCAGGCATGTGGCTGCATTTCCTGAATCAAAAGTAAATGCCCATTCACTTCTGTTTCAATTTAATCTGTGCAGCTTAAACTAACCTGCAAAGACTGAACTGACTCAGCCTCGGGCTTTTTGACTGTCTGTACCTAGCCGCAGAGTTCTGATAATTACTCAGGCTCCTCTCCTGAAAAAAACAGTCTTTTCAGCTGGCCAATGACACAAACCTTCCCTCAACCATAGCTGTCACCAAGGAAGCTGAGCGTGGTGCTGGGGGTGGGTGGGGACAAGACATCTTCACTCCATTTTCATCTAATTCAATGGAGAGGCAGATGGGTTTATAATCCTGCTTATTTCTCTATGCCCAAACACAAAGGCTAAGGCGAGTAACAGGGATTTTGCTCTCTTGTGTGGCTGCATAGTCCAGTCCTAAGTGTGCCTGTGTATGTGCGTGTATCTGTGTAAAAGCCCTCCACGTGCTTATATTACCACCATGGAGAGAGCTGCACTTACTAAAAGCCAACCTATAAGGTCAAATCCAAGCCTGGCCATAAATCTAGGGGAAACCACCTTTGGGGAGACATATAGTGCAACGTTCAACACCTAATGCAGGGGGTGGCAGCCAGATCCAGCCCATGGAGCCATTGGATCTGGTCTGCAGAGCTGGAGGGGTTGGCGATATTTGGAAGAGGGGGGTTTCACCCATGCCACCCAGCAACTGGGCAGTGGAGAGAAATGGAAGTGGCAGCAGCAACCAGGGGCTGGCACCACTCTTCCTAGGACCTGAACTGGTCATTCACTGGTCTAGTGGCCTACCACTAGATAATGTTGCTGACCCATGGTCTACATGGATGGATGCAGCCCAGCCATTCATACCAGTGCACTCAGGTGTTTAATGGGGAAAAGGAACTGGGGACTGATCCCAAAGCTATTGGTCCTGATCATCAATGGGTGTAATTCATCCATCCTAATGGAAGATCTGACCAACTGCTTTTATGCCATGAAGCTAGGCACATCACACACACGCACGCACGCACGCACGCACTTTTCTGAAACCCTTTAAGAAATAGATCTGGCAGAAAAACTGGAGGGAGGCACAGAGGTTTTGCAACAAGTAATAAAATAATTCGAGCTGCTTGGGAAAGGAGCCTTCCCCTCCCACAAAACTTTTTGAAGCCAATTGCTTCCTTTACCCTGCGATTTTTCCGTGATTGCTTTCAGGTTCCATCAGAAAAAAAAATCAGAACTTTCTCCTTGAACGTTCAGAGTTTAAAACTGAAAACTATTTTGGGTTTTTTGTCCTAAAAATGAAATGCAAATAATTTAAAAAAAAACAAAAAACGCCCCCCTCTCCGACAGTGAAATGACTGTGAGCTTTTCCATGTCACTGAAAATCTATTATCCCGTGGAAAAATATTCTGGCCGGCTCTAGTAAGGACCTTTTCCAGTAGAGAACATTGAAATGGATGCGTCTTGGCCCTGTTTAAAATCTCAGCCAAACCAATTTGCATTTCTGCCAGCCTCCTTCAATCCCCATGTCTTGTTCAAACACAGCTCTTCACCCCCCTCGCCTGCTACCTTAGTCCCGTCTGTTTATGATCTTTTGTACACCGCAGTTCCACTCGAGTTCCCTAATAAATTACTACTAGATTCCTAATTTTTAGATTATGTCTGTTCTTTTCTCAACTCCCACTCACCGGCGTCTGCACAAAGCGTTTTACCCTGTCAAATCTAAATAGATAATAGAATCAGCCAGGTAGACATGAAATCCCCTTTGTATGGGGATTGGGGTGGATAGGAAGCCAGGCACAAGTGCGCAAGAGAGGCCCTGGCAACTGAGAGGGGTTTTGATGAAATGCTTAGTTCCTTTCGATTCTTTTTTAAAGGAACAAATAAAAAAAATGGGGGTGCTTTAAAGATGAGGAAAGAGATGCGAGAACCAGCATCTTCCAATGGCCAACGTAGGCCGTCTTCTAACAATGCCCCCTCGGGGATGGGATGCTGAGGAAGGTGATCTGGAGCACAGGTCTTTTTTTTATGACATTTCTTATCAAGGACCTGGGAAATCCCATGCTTCTGGGCCTGTGGGGTTTGAGCTGCCATTTGCTATAGAAGTGTGCAGTACGATGGGCCTCTGACAACCCCGGTCCTTGACAAGACAGGTGGGCAGCGGAGTACCCCGCTCAATGAGCGCTCTTGCTACTGCAGTGGTTGTGGAGGTGGATGAGACTCTGCTACCAATTGCAGCATCAGCAGTGGTCTGATTGGCTTTTCTCTGTCTCTCCGAAATGCCAGAAGAGGCAAAGGAGGCTGTCAGCTGTCATTTATAATAATGTCAGGAGGACGTGAATCCCCTGGACCTTGTGTTTCAGAGAAAACAGACACTGTCTGGGAGAAAAGCATCCAAGAGGGATGGGAGTTCCTAGTGGACATAATATTGGGGGGCCAACATCAAGCTATTTGAACACAGAGGAAAGGTAAGAGACTGATGTCCTTGCACTTCTGCACTGTCTGAACAATCAAGAGATGCACGCAAGCAGTGGGAGGAAAGGTGCGTCTCAAAGGAAAGAGATGAAGCAACAGCACAGATGTGCGAGGGCAAAAGTCAGAGCAAAGGCAAGAAATAAGTTACAACTGGCAAGAAAGGTAAACACAATGAGAAGAGGTTCGGCCGGCACGTTAGGTGAAAAAGAGAGATGGTTTGTGTGCAGCTCATTGGAGAAGGGGAGCTGTTAACAGAAGGTGCAAAAAAGGCAGGGCTGCTCGGTACCCACTTGGTTACAGCTTCTTCTTGTGCGAAGACTGAAGCAGAGTGACTAGCTGTGTTAATATAACCGAAGAAAGGGAGTGCTGCAGATCATGAGCAAGCAAGGACCTGAAAACATTTAAGCCAGCAGAGCCTTATGGAGTTCACCTTGTGGGGACTCAGGGCATGCGATGAAGAAATCTTGTGGCCACCAGCAATAATATGTGCAAAATCTTAAGATGACAGATGCGGTCCCAGGGGACTGGAGAAGGGCTAACACAGTGCCTGTCTTTAAATTGGGGGAAAAGGATGGTACGCAGAATTATGGGCTGGTCAGTCTGACTTCAATACCTGGGAAGTTACTAGAGAAAATGATAAGAGTTCAAATCTCAGGAGGAGGAGATGGTGAACATAAGAGCCGTACTGGGTCAGACCAATGGTCCACCTAGCCTAGTATCCTGTCTCCAACATGGACGTGTTATGAACACACAGTGCAAATGCACCTTGATTCCTTTTTTGACAATGTAATCACTTTGGTGGAAAAGGAGAAGGCACCGGACATAACACCTGGGTTGTAGCAAGGTTTCGGACCCACTTCCTTTATGCCACTCTCCTAAGTAATCTGGAAAAGCTCCAGCTAGATAGCATGACTAGCAGGTGGGTGCAAAGCTGGTTGAATAATCGCGAGCAAAATATAACTATCAATGGATCAATGCTCAACTGGCAAGAACGCTTGAATAGATTTCCAGAGGGGTCTGGGCTGGGTCTACTGCTGTTTAACATGTTTATTAATGACTTGATTGCAGGGGGTAGAGAATATATCAGATCTGCAGATGACACAAACTTGGGAAGGATTCAAGCACGTTGGAGCACAGGATGAAATCCAAAGGCAAATTGGAGAATTGGGCTACGGACAGCGTAATGAAATGCAACAAAGGGTACAGGTATAACGTGCTGTACTCAGGGAAGACAAGCTCACTGCAAACAGATAAAAGGGGAGATAAATGATTTGGCAGCAGCACTGCCAAGAAGGCTCTGGTGGTTATGGTGAATCAGAAACTCTGCTGGGTCAGCAAGGGGATGCTGTTACAAGCTGGTGGGGGGCAAATGCAATTGTGGGTTGCATTAACAAAAGCATGATCTGTAAAAGGGACGGGAGGGAATAGTCCCACTCTCCTTGGCACGAGTTAGGCCTCTGCTAGAGTGCTGCATGCAATGCTGAGCACCACGTTTTAACAAAAATAGAGAGAAACCGGGTAAGGACCAGAGCGTGCATGGATGATGAGGGTGATAAAGCTGCCTAGGCAAGTGCTGGCATTTCCTTCATGGGAGGTTTTCAAGTAGCAGCTGGATAAGCATCTGCTTGGGATGATTTAGGACCGTGGTGCTCAAGCTTTCGGCCCCTGGACCAGATAAGTGGTGCAGGGCTGGATTGGGCCCTGCATGCCAGGATCAGGCCCTTCAAGGCTTCAGCTGACCCCCGCATGTTGGGATCAGGCCCTGGGACCCCGCAGTGCCCCCTCCCTCCCCTGGCAACAGGGATTGGGCCTTGGGGCTCAGCACCGTCCTCTCCCAGCCCTGCATGCCAGGATTGGGCCCTGGTGGCCCGTGCCACCACATGAGACCAGGTGTCCGATCCAGTGCACAGGGTCCGAGGCAGAAATTGGGCAGCAGGGGAGCAGTGCCACGCTCCCCCACTCCCCTGCCAAATTTGCAAGCCAAGGGGGAGCCCCACTGGCCGGATGACATGGCACTGGGGAGTGGATCTGGCCTGCAGGCCAGGGGTCGAACACCCGGGGTTTAGGAGGAGCCAGTCCTGCAGGCGCACTGTATGACCCCAGAGGTTTCTCCTGACCATACGATTCCACGTTTAACCCGCCAGTCTCCACTGCCCTCTCTGCATCGGAGCATTTGACGTGCTACCCAAAAACTCCTCTCCAGAAATCGCCCAAGTGCTGCCACCCAACTGCTGGTTTCCTAAAGTTATAAAGACACCTGAGACAAAGGAGAGAGCCCCAGAAGCTGGGGCCAACAAGCCCCGCAACACATGTACCTCGTCCATGAGGATGATGAAGGTGGCGTTGTGCCCTTGTTCTGTAACGAGCTTGCCGTCGGTGGTGAGAATGTGTAGTCCACGTGGAGCCTTCCCGGGGCACTTTTCAGCCTTGGCTGTGTACTTCTCCCGGAGCCCATCCGTGCAGTTGTTAGACACGATCCTCCGATACCTGGGGAACATTAACATTTTGGGGATGCGCCTGGATATTTTTAACGCGTGCATTTCAAAGAGCTGCCCAAGGCTGACAGCTCGGGCGCTGAGCGGAAAATCAAAGAAATCAAATACTTTATTAAACTACAGAAGCCAAACAAATCAGAGCCCAGCCTCCTCCTGGGACCCCAGCTCCACCAGTGAGAATAGATTCATATTGTTGAGCTGAATTACTATATATGGATGAAAGCTGGGAAAGGCATAGTCCGCCCCTTCTCCGTTTCCCCGTCCCTGCAGTATTGTCCCTTGCATTATGGCATTTTATTATGTTTTTATTATCTTGCGGCTGCTTCTATTCTGCTTGCCGGCTCCCCGAATGATTTGGCAGAGGCTTTGTCTAGTCCAGTTTTTAATGATTCAAGGAACAGGCTTCTCTTGGCTCCATGCAGAAACAAAGAGATTAACTGACTTGGGGGGGATGCTCGGCAATGTGCTGCCTTGTTTTAAAAGATTAACCCTTCTAGCGATTGCCTAAAGGGATTTTAGACTTATAGGACTGGGTAAGCGGAGCTGCTCTTCTACTGCTCTATGGCTGTGCAGCTCCACATGGTCAATGCGGTCGGTGTCTACCTGACCTGCTGCTGTGCCACTTTAATGGCACCTTCTGTCACAAAGTGGTCTCCAGAGGAAAGTGCATCCAGGTTCGCCGTGGCCCAGCTTTCATCTTCTATCTTGCAATAACACGCCAACCCCGGAGAGCAACCCAACCATAGAGGGTGGAGCCTGGCACATGTCAGCTAGATTACAACAGCCTTCAAGTATACACAGTGTGAAATGCAGTGATGCACCAGCTCAACAGAGTGACCCTGCCATAATAAACCAGCGCGCAGGATCCAGGACTACAGAATGAAGCTACCATGACAAACCAGTGCATGCGGCTCCACCACCCATAACAAACCAATGCAGGCAGCTCCGCCACCCGTGACAAACCAGTGCATGCAGCTCCGCCCCCCGTGACAAACCAGTGCAGGCGGCTCCGCCACCCACGCCAAACCAGTGCATGCAGCTCCGCCCCCCGTGACAAACCAGTGCAGGCGGCTCCGCCACCCACGCCAAACCAGTGCATGCAGCTCCGCCCCCCGTGACAAACCAGTGCAGGCGGCTCCGCCACCCACGCCAAACCAGTGCATGCAGCTCCGCCCCCCGTGACAAACCAGTGCAGGCGGCTCCGCCACCCACGCCAAACCAGTGCATGCAGCTCCGCCCCCCGTGACAAACCAGTGCAGGCGGCTCCGCCACCCACGCCAAACCAGTGCATGCAGCTCCGCCCCCCGTGACAAACCAGTGCAGGCGGCTCCGCCACCCACGCCAAACCAGTGCATGCAGCTCCGCCCCCCGTGACAAACCAGTGCAGGCGGCTCCGCCACCCACGCCAAACCAGTGCATGCAGCTCCGCCCCCCGTGACAAACCAGTGCAGGCGGCTCCGCCACCCACGCCAAACCAGTGCATGCAGCTCCGCCCCCCGTGACAAACCAGTGCAGGCGGCTCCGCCACCCACGCCAAACCAGTGCATGCAGCTCCGCCCCCCGTGACAAACCAGTGCAGGCGGCTCCGCCACCCACGCCAAACCAGTGCATGCAGCTCCGCCCCCCGTGACAAACCAGTGCAGGCGGCTCCGCCACCCACGCCAAACCAGTGCATGCAGCTCCGCCCCCCGTGACAAACCAGTGCAGGCGGCTCCGCCACCCACGCCAAACCAGTGCATGCAGCTCCGCCCCCCGTGACAAACCAGTGCAGGCGGCTCCGCCACCCACGCCAAACCAGTGCATGCAGCTCCGCCCCCCGTGACAAACCAGTGCATGCATTTTATGGTAACAAGCCACTATAAACACATGGTGAAGTGGGGGGGAAACTGAGCAAGGATAGAGATGGCAAATGCAAACTTCCCATGAAGTTATTAGAAATAAGAACAGGAAGAGAGAGGATAAAATTCTCCAGGAAGAACTATGTGAAATGCCTTTAGCATGTCCTCTTAAATGTTCAGCCCTTGTTCAAATAGAGCACTGGATCAGTGCAGCAAAAGAAGCATCAAGTGTGGGCTCCAGGCATCATATATCACTCGACAGCAATACAATAGCTACATGTCACTTATGTTTATATACTTCTCGCGTATGAAGAATGAGGCGATGTTCCACGCACACGGTATCAGCTCGCAAATAAGGCAGGGAAAAAGCCAGGTGGGATGGAGACACTGATAAAGATGTGCAGCTATCATAGTAGCACAAGGTCACCAAATGCAGGGCACCAGTGGGACAGACTTACCCGGTACTGTTCAGGTAGCTCTGGCCGAAGCTACAGTCCTTGGACAGGGAGGATGGATTGAACCAGAAGGCTGGAACACACTGGTTGTTACTGTGTCTTTCATACCCATAGTCACTGCAAAGGCACAAGAATAACAGAAAGCATCATATCACTCAGCATGGATACCCAAAAATGCTGTGAAATTTTAGCAGACATATCTTAATGGAAAAACAACTGTGGAGGGGAAGGTCAATTAGCTATGCTAGTCCCAGGGAGAAATGACTGTTCCTTCTCCTCGAAGAATCACAGAAAAATAGCACTGGAAGACTTGAGGTTCAATCCTCTGCTCAAGGCAGGATCATCTCTGGGAACCATCCCAGTAAAAGCGTTTGTCTAACCAGTGTTTAAAAACGTCCAGTGATGGAGATCTTGGTCATGTTCCGGTGCTTACCTTCCTCCTCATCCAAAAAATCTTCCTAATATCCACCCTTGGTGCAATTTAAGCCTGGCACTTCTCTTTGTCCAGAGGGGACAGGACAAGAATTGATCATCATCCTCCTTGCAACAAGCCTCATATTGAAGGGCTCTTATCACAGGGCCTTTTCATGTACAATGCGAGCACCCTTGTTCAGGTTCACTCTCCTCGATTCAGACTCCAGATGAAGTCATACGAAGTTTTCAGTATGGAAAAACCAAAACCTGAGGAACCAGTTCAGCAAAGCACTTAAACCTCTACTTAAAGTTAGAGCACTGACCTCATTGGGACTTGACCACATGGACTTCTGAATGATATAAAGTGCTCAGTTGAAGTGGGCCTCTAGCTAGGCCTTTGGGCCCAAATTAGAGAGCTAAATAGTGGGTTGAACAACATAGATAGTGGGGTTGGAGTTCTGGCAGACTTATCCAGTGGCAATGGGCTCTGGAGGGATGGGCTCTTAGAAAAGCTGGACGTGTACAAGTCCATGGGGCTGGATGCAATGCAAGGAGCAAGGATGACAGAGCAAGGAGCAATGCTCCCAAGTTGCAGCAACAGAGGTTTAGGTTGGATATTAGGAGAAACTTTCTCACTTGAGGGTGATGAAGCACTGGAACAGGTTACCCAGAGAGGTGGAGGAGTCTCTATCCTTGGAGGTTTTTAAGGCCTGGGTAGACAAAGCCTTGGCTGGGATGATCCAGTTGGGGCTGGTCCTGCTCTGAGCATGGGGTTGGACTAGATGTGATGTCCTGAGGTTCCTTCCAACCCTCATTTTCTATGATTTCTATGATTATACCTTGCAGACTGTTCCAAGCGCACCCGCGGAAGGTGTTACAGCTGGCGAAAAATGCTCAGTTGCTATGCATGGTTCAGTGCTTGCCTATAATTATGAATAGACTGTCATGCAGGGGAAAAGATGTTGTAGAGCCCCAAGTCCTGTCTGGACCAGGAGTGGGTATGAGCCCCAAGTCCTGTCTGGACCAGGAGTGGGTATGAGCCCCAAGTCCAGTCTGGACCAGGAGTGGGTATGAGCCCCAAGTCCAGTCTGGGCCAGGTCGGGATATAAGCCTCAAGTCATCCCTGGACCAGGAGGGGTATGAGCCCCAAGTCCTGTCTGGACCAAGAAGGGTGTGAGCCCCAAGTCCTGTCTGAACCAGGAGGGGTTTGAGCCCCAAGTCCTCTCTGGACTAGGAGGGGATTGAGCCCCAAGTCCTGTCTGGACCAGGAAGGGGTATCAGTTCACCTACTTCCATCAAAAGCATCTTCCTAAAACAGATGCCTGCCTGCCAACTTAATGATGAAGCCACAGCAGCTACTGGACTCAATGGGATTTTTTCCATAATCTGTAATATGCTTTGGATCAGGTCCCATGTGCATCCCTGGCTAGACTTGATCAGAGGGTTTTTTGGTTGAAGGAAAGAATATAAATAGAGACCCTGGACCTCAGCCCGCAAGAAGCTAACCAATGCCAGCAAGCTACACCGTTCCGGGAATCGCAGACAGCACAGAGTCCATCTCACGACAGCCCCGTGCTCCTCTTGATGCTCTTGTTTTAACTGTGAGCCTCTTGAAGACCGAATAGGAAGTTTTAGAGAAGGGCCTTAGCAAGCAGGATTAGTTGTATACCCAGCAACCCCCTAGCCGATGCCAGTACTCTTTGGCGGCCAGAAATTTCTGAGCTGCTTGAAGAGATTCAGCGATTCCCTAATGTTCTTTGTCTTAGCATTCAATTTAATCACCCTCAGTGGGTCAGCCCCGCATAGGCAGAAATGCCTGGCAGCGACTTGGTAATTAAAAATGTTCGGGAGGAGTTGTACTTTGCCCCAAAGAAGAAAAGAGACGCATAAATATTTAATAAAATTAAAGACAACATTGCTGTATGCCCCAAAGGCTCCGGGCATGTTCATTAACTTCTGGTAAATGTATATTAAAATCTCACAGGCTGTCCACCTTCCCTCTCACAAGCCTCGGGGTTTGCATAAGTTAGGGAAATAATCAAGTCCAGCTGCTGCTCCGTCTTTCACGGAAAAGCTTCTTGACAGAGTAAATAAAGAACCAGCGGGGGGGAAAAATACCAGCGAGCATTTGAATAACGCTTCCTGGTTCCCACTGCCATTTTTTCCCTGCTAAAAAAAAGGCTAAGGTTTGATTTTTAAAATGCTTGCTCAAGCCGGTATGCTCTTAGCCACAGCGATGCCGGCTTTGTGTTTATCTGCCACCTCCACATCAGGTTAGCAAACCCACACGCTTGTGTCTGGAAAGCGTGGGTCTACGGAAAGGCGGCTAAGTCGTAGTGACAAAATGCACTTCCACATCTCGCCCCTCGGGCTCTCCCAGTCAGATCTGCTCAGTTTAACACGGAAAACACGGGTCCGGCTGAGATTGCCGAGAGCAGTTCGTGATTTTGGGTACTTTGCTGGGTTTTTGGGATGCTCAGGTTGAACAGCCTTCGAGAGCCCTGCTTTTCCAAAAGTGAGGAGGGCCGTCCTCTTGAAAAATCAGAGCCTTTGAAGATATCTCAGACTGGGTACCCCAAAAATGGAGGTGCCCAAAACTGATAGTCATTTTTGCTTCTCGTGATGGATTTCCCTTCCTCCGGTTTTCCTGTCAGCCCTGCAAACTCACGTATGAAAGTCAAGCTGGTTCCCTCCGGCTTGTGCATCACAAAGAGCTATGATGTTGTCATGAGAGCCTCATGAAAATAGACAGGCGGCTGAACTTTGCAGCCAGAAAGCAGGAAACGCAGCAACCGATGGGACCAAGGCATAGCCGTTCTTGGAGCTAAATGACAGGCTGAGCTCGGTGCCATGTGCAAACACGTCTAAGATAAATGCTGCGAGAAGGTCCTGTTCTTAGTGTAAAATCTTAGGTTTAGGAGTGACAACTGCCTACAAGATGCCATTTCTCCTGGAATAAGTTGGAAGACTTTTAGATTTCCTTCCTGCATTAGAGTCATAGTATTATAGAAGACAAGGGTGGAAGGGACCTCAGGAGGTCACATCTAGTCCAACCCCCTTCTCCAAGCAGGACCAGCCCCAACTACATCATCCCAGCCCAGCCTTTGTCTACCCGGGTTTTAAAAACCTCCAAGGAGGGAGATTTGACCACCTTTCTGGGTAACCTGTTCCAGTGCTTCACCAGCCTCCTCGTCAGAGAGCTTTTCCTAATATCCAACCTCAACTTCCCTTGCTAAAACGTAAGACCATTGCTCCTGTCATCTGCCACCACTGAGGACAGTCCAACTTCATCCTTTTTGTAACCCCCTGCAGGTAGATAAAGGATGCTATCAAATCCCCCCACCCTTTAGGAAAAGGTGAAACTTTTTTCAGATGAGATATACTTCTGCTCAATGTCTTTGAGTCTTGGGTTGGACCCAACTGTCTCCAGGTGCCATGAAAATGTAGTAACCTTTCTTCATATTACTTGTTTCGCATCATTTTGGTGCCTTTACATGTCAAGATTGGATCAGAAAGTCCTGCAAGAACCAACGGATCAGATTCTCAGCTCGGATACACTGGCATAGAGGCACTGAAATCATGCAAGAGAAACAGCGAAGGGGGGTGGGGGGGTTACAAAAAGCAGCTTCTCAAAGCGACCTGACAGCAGGTTGGAATTTACAACACCATTAATTCGAAACATCAATATTTATGCAAAACAGCTGGTGACTTCTGACAAGCCCGGGGTGTACGGGGAGGCGAAAGAAGCAGAATCGGCGGATTCCTTAATAAAGTCATGCTGAAAATCAATAAAACTTTCCCAGGCTAACAGAAAAATCATTTCCCTGTCTTGTACCTTGGAGCCTCAAGTGGTGACAAAAGCCAAGTGAGTCTGAAATCTCCTCTTCGCCAAGTAGGAGGCACCCTCCAGGGGCGTGTTGTAGGGGCAGTGTTGGCCTACCCATTCATTTCCATCAGAGCCCCCTTGGATACCGTCCACATCCAACCACCTGGCTCTGCACAAGCCCCAAGGCAATGATTTGCACAGCAGCATCATGAGTTATAAAGGACCAGGGTACTCACCACTCGAAGTCCCCATCGGCGCAGACACAGGGTTCGGAGACGACGGTCTTGGAGTAGTCTCTCCCCAATGCACACTGCACCCCGGGCTTGCGTTTCTTATAGATTTTCCTCTCTCCCATGACACAAGGCTCCCCCTTCCGCAGAAGAAAGAGCGGGAGTTAGAAGGAGGGGAAACCAGAGGATTTCTAGTTCCTGCCTCCCCCACAGCTTACTGATGTTGGACTGCTTATTCCTATTGTGCAAGTGGCAAAAGTCATGCATCAAGAAGGGAACTCTCCAAGGGCAAACGCAAAGTCTGTGACAAGCCTAGGTGTAGACCCCACGAGCCTGGGCTTCTCTTCCCCCATTTGACTGCAACTCAGCCTATAGCACAGTCTTACAGCACTCAATGATTTGTTTCAAGCACTGTTTCAGGAGGTTTAAGGCTTTCTAAAGCAATACAGAGGATATCTAAATCAAAAAAAGAAAGTCTGACCTTTAGGTGAATGGCCATAAATACAATTTTCTGTTGCACTGAAATAACTTGCTTGGGCCCAAAAGGAAAGAAAATACACCGCAGAATTGAATTACTTTTCTTTCCCGTTATTCCCAATGCCCAAGATGACTGCATGGATTCAGGGGTACTGCCTTTTTTCATAATTTCCAATGGTTTTAATTTGTTCTCTGTTGGGATGTTAACGGCTAGACTACCTCGCACTCCTTTTTAATCTCCAGCGCCCATGTTTTTTTAACTGCACTTCTTTCCCACGGGGAGGCCTGTGACCTTGTACAATGATGGCTTTTCCAAGGGATGGAGCCTCCTGTTGGCTTCTGGCCATAAAAGCATCGAGCTTGAAAATGAGACACATGGTCACAGATGACAAAGCTTGTACAGACGACAAAGCATGTTTGCCTTGTATAGCATCTGCACGTGCTTCCTCCTCTATAACCGCTATGTCTATGTCTAGATCAGGCATTTTTCTTCTCCTGCATCTTCTATTATAAGACTCCCTAGGAGTATACAAAATCCCATGAGGTAGGCAGAGCTAACGAAGCAACTCCAACCCTCTTATAACTTAACCACAAAGGCAAGCTTTACCTTATCTGAGCCATGCTGACGGGATGAAACTTTTTAATACAACCATAGGCCACTGGGCACTATCACTAGCCCATGTAAGGCTGGCATCACACCCAAAGTCTCTTCAAATGTTTCCTTCGGGGCAGGGTTTATTAGCCCAAACCTTGGTAGGTAACAGAACACAAGGGCCCAAAGACCCGTCCCTCCAGACCCTGCTCAGTGCCCCAAGGCCTCCTGCGGCTCCCCAAAAAGAGTAATCTCAGCCCTTGAAAGGTGTTCAGGGCATGTCTGCATGGCCAGTTCAGCGCCGTGCTCGGTCTGGAGCCAGAAGCAATGTAGCTGCATCAGTGCAGTGCTCAACCCAGGCGAATCAAGCCTATGCAGAAGGTGGCACCGATACAGGGCTAGAGTTGGATCCAGGTCCCCAGCCAGTATCTCTGCATGGCACTGCACCGTGATGGGCAGACGTACCAGCTTGTTGGGAGCTGGCTCAGTTATCCCACAGAGCACATCCTCGCATTGCTGTGTGCGGACAAACCCATTCAACCTGTGGCTGTAGCTGATAACTGAATGGGGTTGCCTTGCAATGGGTCCCTTGGCTATTAAAGGCACCTAACACCCTGTTACACTGTTCTGTAAGTGGACACATGCCAGCAGGGGCCGGGGTCATTTGAACTTCCTGGGACAAGTTGGATGGTGCTTGGTAAACCCTTGCAGGTTTTCAGAAAGACCTAGTGAATGTCCTGCTAATTTTAGGTGATCTTATTTAAAAAAAAAGCAGACTCTACTGGCATATAATCAAAGCAATCAAAAGGCATAAAGGGGCTTTAATCTGGTAGCCAAAGACTCTTTTGCACTGGTGCAGGGGTGGATGGGGACTTTTGGGTGCATGAGATTTGGCTTATTGCAGTTTTCGTGTAGTCCAGAGCACAAGCTGTGTCCAGCCAGGATTGAACACCACTCCAGAAATGTAAGCACTTAAGCTATGTCACATCTACAGGTGAAAACTGCTGACTGCACTGAAAGATGCCAGATCCTTCCCTTCTTGGGAAAGACAGCAAAGCAGGCTCCTACCCACAAGCATGCAAGGAGAGCTCGGTTAAAGGCCACCCCAAAGAGGTAGTCATACCTGGTTGTGCAGGTGCCAGGTCTGGTAGTCATCCTTGTTGCATCGCCTGCTGAAGATGGATTTGTAGTCCACTTTGACCAGCTGCCACTCTGAACGCAGACTGAAGTGCCCAAAAATTCTGAGCATTGGAGGGAAAAAAGAAGTGTACGCACACCATCAGCCTGGGGAATAGACTTCCCTCGTGGAAACCTTCCTGAATCCGAGAGTGGAAACCAACATGAAAGTCCCTAACTCCTCACAGAGAAGAACAATTCACCTGAACCTGCCTGTGCACTGGTTCCCAATCATCTGCTGGCATCCAGTGCCCTTTCCTCTGATCCTGTGCCTGTCTTGTCTGTGTGTGTGTGAACGGCATGCACTATAATGGCTAGCTCAGACATGCAAATGCCGCTGTTAGACAAAGAAGAAATGACGGCAAGAGAGATTAGTCCTATTAAAGCCACTGGAAATAGGGACCCAAGGAGTTCTTTCTTTGTTTAAGTCTTTGTGTTTAAGTCTTTGCTCTTTCTTAGCTAACTCAATGTAGTTGTTTCTATTGTATAGATAACACTATTAAATATATTTATGCTGAGCTGAACAATGAAGTGAGGAAGATGACTACAGGTGATGCTCGGTTAAGGTGACACAAGAAAACACCTGCAAAGATTGCTCTGAGTGTTGTTATGTGCCCCGGTGGCATTAGGAAAGAGCTGAGGTGGTACTGGGATTGCAAAATAACACAAATCACTGCAGGGCGGGGAATTCATGAGTCGGTTTCTGAAATGCATTTGAGCAGGCTGATTATTATCCCTGATTCGGTGACTTGAGTCTGTGGTCCAGCTTCCCAAATAAGGATATCATTTTCACATCCCCAAACCACAGATGTGTCCCTAGAGATACCAACCGGCTCCCGAGCCCCACTCTACTCAGTGCTACATGAACTCACCAACAGGCAAGATAAAGGGATACGCTGTACGGTCGGGAAGCGTAGTGCTTTGTTGAGGCTGGGAGTTACCCATGCGCTTGCAAGAGCAGGACAAAGTGAGACTAAGCACATCAACGCTCTGCATCCCACCATGCTCTCAAGTGCAATAATTACTAAGAGAATCTACCTGGAGGATGCTCACATCTCCTAAAAGGAAAACAACCCACAACAAAACCACCCCTAATTAATAAATAACATCAGGTATCCAGACAAAAGGCTCCACTCAACTGGAATCGTTGGATGAGCTGCAGGGAGCCTGCTTTTCGATCAACTAACTGCTTCTTAAGCCTCACGCCAGTGGCTATTTTCTCAGTAAGAAGTAGTTTTTGACTCAGCAGAGGCCAAAGAAGTATATTGGTAAGGGGAAGCGATGGTGTAGGCAAAGGTAACCACTTGGAAAGCTATAAACAAAGCTACAATCTCGCACAGGAGAGGCAGGAAATAAATTAATAAATAAATCTATATAGATATAGATATCTATATAGATATCTATATCTATATAAATAGATATCTATATCAATATCGATATCGATATAGATATAGATATATATAAAAAATGAAGCCAATCAACATGTTATCAGAACAAACTAATAAAATCAGCTTCTCCTCCCAAAACTGGGAAATTCGGACGTTGAAGGAATAGCTCTTTGAAAAACTTGGCTAAAATTTAATCTGGCTTATTTTCACACTATGCATAATCTGAATCTTTTCCAGCCCTTGTACAGAAGCAAGTACGGCCAAACCACCTGAACAACAGGCTTTAGAAAATGGGGGAGAAGTATTTTTCCATATGCCAAGTCTTTCACAAATCTAAATGTTCACTCAAGGCATTTTTGAGATTATATTTTTATAATTCTATTATGTCAACCTAAAGGTGCCGAAATGCTTGGTGAGTCTTGCAGCGAAAGGAAAAACAGAGCAAAGCAGAAAAGAGTGCGACCTTCTTGACACCTACATTGCTCACGTTATGACCGGAGTCTTTATCTCTCTGGGACCCAACCCAGGGTTTGCTATCAGCCCTTGCCCCATCTCATCTCCAGCTGGACTGTAAGTTTACCTCAACTTCCCTTGCTGCACCATGAGCCCATTGCTCCTTGTTCTGTGATCTTCCACCACGGAGCACAGTCCAGCTCCATCCTCTTTGGAGCCACCCTTCAGGTAGTTGAAGGCTGCTGTTAAGTCCCCCCCTCAGTCTTCTCTTCTCTAAACTAAATAATCCCAATTCCCTCGGCCTCTCCTCACAAATCATAAGCCCAGCCCCCAAACCATTTTCATTGCCCTCCACTGGACCGTCTCTAAATTGTCAACATCCTTTCTGTAGTGAGCGGCTTCTAGGCTCTGTGATGTCCAAACCACCCAGTGTCGATTCAGTATGTACTAGATAGGGTCGGGCTCCCAGCTGCTTCAGATATCATTCCAGCGCACCGGGTTTGGGATGCCACACAAACAGCTCTCCACCCACTCCTGACAAATCCAGTAATATCCCGCTTGCAACACGGCTATGCTCACACCCAACATCTGGTACAGCATCCCAGCCTCCAGCTGTGCTTTTGATGACAGCTTTCAGCTTACGTCCTCCTAGAACGCCAGCGTGGCTAAGACGTCTCACAGACTCACGCGCATCTTTCCTCCGAACCCGTTTGCTTGTAGATGATTTGAAGGTCACTCCATTTGGTGAGCTGGAGCCCTACCCAATATACATTGGCCCACTCCCAAAGGGACTCTGCTGATTTATGCCAGCTGTGGATCCAGCTGTGTCACAAACTCCTTACAGCAGAGAAAAGAACCGTTTGCTGGAACACAGCAGGCAGCACAACCACAAATATCAAGACGATTGAGTGCCCATGGGATGGGATAAGAGCTGAACTGCAAAGTGTTGGTTCTGTCAGCACTTACTAACAGGCAACTGTTCGCTGACAGCACAGCCGGCAAAGCAGAAGGCTGCAATGCACTTTCACCAGCCTCAAAACTCACCACAACCATGTGCTTTTTTAAAACTAAAAAAAAACCCCTGAAACTTTTGCTTAGTAATAATAATTAATGGAAAAAACAAGGTTTCCTAAGTGGAAGGCAATGCATTAGCATTCCAAAAGCATGGAGCATTAGCTACTCTTTAATTAAATGATTTCAAAGAAGATCTTTGTATATAATTGCTATAATTTAGATGGAAACAATACTATGCTAAATATAATTAGAGCAGTATGAACTCTACAGGATATTTTCATCTGTGTTAGTGGGATGATTCTGGGTCACCTGGTTCTCATATGCTTTTTTATTTTTAAAAAAATGCTCCTTAATACTGATTAATGAGCATGATCCAGCTTTCGGTAATAAGGAATGCTCTTGGGCAGAACACCAAGCAAGCAAGGCTGCTGGGCTTGCAAACGAGGATGAGAGTCACCAATACTGTATACCACCGTGATGCATATAGACTGTGTGATGTACTAACCTATTGGTTTGGTGATGGTGCTTGGTAAAAGAAACTCTGAGCCAATCAGCTCTGGCTTGGCAATAGATGTTTTGGAATAAATAAATAATAAATAAATAAATAAATGTTTTGGAAACAGATCACATCCTAAAGAAAAGGGTGTGAAGAATCAAGTTGGAAGGTTCCCGCTGGTGAATCTGCTCACTCGCTTACAGACACTTTCTCATTCAGTGCATCATTTCTATGCAAGTTTTTTTCCAATCTGGTTATTTTACTCACTAAGGCAGGTGGGTATTTTTTCTTTCCCCCCTACATGTTGCTAACCTTCTAGAGTGAGATACGGGTCAAGGAAGAGAAGGTGGACTCTTGAGTTTGGCTGCAGTCACTGAAGACTCTTCATTGCTAATGGTGATAGAAAGACATGAAAAAGTATGGTCTTCACAACCCCAGTTTGGGAAGCTGATACAAAAAGCCATCTGTGATTTCCTCCACTGAGCAGCTGGAGCAAAAACTCCTTGAGAGGCAATAACAAGAGCCCAAAAGGCAATTACATCAGACTCACTCTTCTAAGTGCTCCTTAATGAGTATGGGCCAGCATAGACTGTTTATAGACATGATAGATTGAGTTTCCATTCTTCATAGTAAACAGATAGGACTACATGCTATTCCACCTATTAGGTGTCTAGGGGTGTGTCTACACGTGCATTTAAGCATGCTTAAATTTAATGTGCATTGGCTTAATGCACATTAAGCAGGCATCTGCACGTGCAGGCATTCAAGTGCATTAACGCTGTGCGTGTGGACTGACTTGGGACTAAAGTTAGTCCCAAGTCAGTCCACACACACAGCGTTAATGCGCTTTAACGTGCCTACACGTGCGTTAATGCACTTCAACTATTTGCGCCTAAATCTAGGTGAGATGAGCCCCAAATCACCATTTTTAAAGAGCATTAAGTGTGCACACGTGTAGGTGTGCACCCTAATGCACCTTACATTTAAGCTAAAGTGCCTTACAGTGTCTCATGTAAATGTGCCTTGGGTGGACTAAAGCATCTAAGTGCAAGCCTATTCCACCTATTCAAATCCTGAAAGTCCATTGATGCATGTACTTTTGTAATGCACCCATCGTCTTACCCTTAATACCGAGTCACAAGAAAGCAGGGAGGAGGAGAACCCACTCACCTTTTGCATTAGCTGTTTTTCAGGGACTCAAGCAGCGTGGCATAGTACTGCACTTAGCACCTTAGTTCAGGGGTGGAATAAAATTTCCCCCTTAAATTCCACGTGGAGCCAGCACATATAACAGCATCTTTGCAACCAGCTCCATAGTCCACTCACCATTGCTAGGAAACAAGAAATTGCTTCCCAGTCCCTTATATATATATATATATATATATATATATTTAAAGAAACAAGGGTATGCGTCTATTGCAGGGCTAGACGTTATCAATTTCTGAGCAAATTATTAGGGATTTGGAAACGGTTCCAAAATGCCTGCAGATTCATGATGAAGTCATTTTGGAAAAGGTCAGTGGCAACACCGCTATAATTAAATCTTTCATTAATTTTTTAAATACACAATAACTTACAAATGCAATAAAAATTGACCAGATGACCTTGCAGGAAATTATTTAGAAAGCTATTTCATTTTGTGGAATAACCTCACTGGCTGAAGAATAACATATCCTTTCCTTCTGCTTTTTGTCTCATTGAGTCATTTTTGGCT